TTTGTACCTTTTTTTTTTTTTTTGAGAGAGAGAGAGAGAGAGAGAGAGAGAGAGAGAGAGAGAGAGAATTTTTAATATTTATTTTTTAGTTTTTAGCAGACACAACATCTTTGTTTGTATGTGGTGCTGATGATCAAACCCGGGCCGCACGCATGCCAGGCAAGCGCGCTACCGCTTGAGCCACAACCCCAGCCCTCTTTTGTACCTTTTTAAAATGAAGATTTCTTATTTTTACTGGTTTGTAGGTGTATTTCATATAAGTATTAATTGTTATATAGCTTTGAAAAATTCTCCCGCACAATAATTTGTCTTTCCACTTACTTTATATTGGTATTTGGTAAACAAAAGTCATTAATTTTTATGTAGTTGAATTTATCTCTCTTTTCCTTTAAGGCTATTTTTTTTTACTCCAAAGTCATAAAAGTATTTTCTCATACATGGCTGTGTAATTTATCTAAAATCCTTGGATTCAGAAGTATTTGGAATATAGACTCTTTGAATATTGGAAAGGTACTACAGAATATATATTGTATAAAACTTTCAACAACAACTGAGACCCATAATAAAACACATTAATATTTCTACATCAAAACATACACATAATGACCTAAGTGATGCATAAATAACAACTATAAAGAGCCCTGTTTAGCTTTAAGTCATATTTCTCACCAAATGAATTCCAAAGAGTTTGGTGCTTCCAAGGTTTGAAGATTTTTTTTGACTAGTACAAGCTATGGTAGCCTTATACAGTAAGAGTGGGATTGCTCATTTTGAGGAATTTACTGATGAGGCTGGTACCTGGAATTTGCCTGTAGAAAGATTCTTTACTACTATTTCAAATTATTGAAAGACTTATCTACTTGTATCAGTTACTTATTTTTCCTGAAATCTGTATATTCATCTGATTTTTTTTTTGCATTTGCTTATAAGATCCTCTAACCTTTGGATGTCCATAGATCCAGTTTCATTACTGATAAAAGTTAATGTATCTCTATTGTTCAGTACTATCAGATGTTAATTTTATTAGTTTTTCTTTTTGAAAAAAAATCAATGTTTTTTAAGTCTATTAAATGCAATGGTATGCTAGTGAATTTGCTGCAAACATAACAGAAACAAAACCTTGGCTTGTCTATTGATTTCCACAGAGTGAATGTTGTCCTCATGGGCAATTCCAAGCAACTTGTCTGCTGTCACTGAACATGGAGTTGTAAAGAGGTGTGCGTGACTGAGAGGCTGGCTCTGTCCTCCACTACTTGTTTCCCATCTCATCTCATTAATTTCTGCTCTTCACAATACTTCTGTGCTTCTACTTTATTCAGTCTTATTTTTCTCACTTGTTAAAAAGGGATATTTAGCTCAAGACATTTCGGGCTCTTTTCTAGTGTACTATAAGTACTATAAGTGTATACAAGACTATAAATGTGTTAGTCCTGCTTTAGCTTCAGTCCACAGGCATTGCTATTGTATTTGATTGTTCAGTTCAAAATATTTTTTCATCATTATTGACTTTGTCCATGGACTCCATAATAACATTTTCACAGTTCATGCTCTCTAGCTTAATAGCATTATGTTAAAAAAACTGAATTATTTCAATCTTTAAAATTTGTTGGTAATTTCTTGGGAATCAATCTAACAAAAGAAGTGAAAAACCTCTACAATGAAAACTACAGAACACTAAAGAAGGAAATTGAAGAAGACCTTAGAAGATGGAAAGATCTCCCATGTTCTTGGAAAGGCAGAGTTAATATTGTCAAAATGGCCATACTACCAAAACTGTAATGCAGATTTAATTTAATTCCTATTAAAATTCAATGACATTCTTTATATAACTAGAAAAAGCAACCATGAAATTCATTTGGAAAAAATAAGAGATCCAGAATAGCCAAAATAATCCTTAGCAAGAAAAGGGAAGCAGGAGGCATCACAATACCAGATCTTAAACTATACTACAGAGCAACAGTAACAAACACAGCATGGTATTGGCACCAAAATAGACAGGCAGACAAATGGTACAGAATAGAAGACACAGAGACAAACCCACATTTATACAGTTATCTCATATTAGACAAAGGCACTAAAAACATATATTGAGAACAGATAGCTTCTTCAACAAATGGTGCTGGAAAACTGGAAATCCATATACAGCAGAAGGAAATTAAACTCCTATCTCTCACCATGTATAAAACTCAACTCAAAGTGGATCAAGGATCTAGGAATTAGACCAAAGACTCTGCACTTAAAAGAAGAACAAGTAGGTCCAAATCTTCATCATGTCAGATCAGGCCCTGACTTCCTTAACAAGACTCCTAAAGTGCAAGAAATAAAATTTAAAAATCAATAAATGGGATAGATTCAAACTAAAAATCTTCTTCTCAACAAAAGAAATAATCATTGAGGGGAAAAAAGAGCCTACAGAGTGGGAGCAAATTTTTACCACATGCATATCAGATAGAGCACTAATCTCCAGGATATATAAAGAACTCAAAAAACTTAATACCAAAAAAACAACCCGATCAATAAATGAGCTAAGGAACTGAACAGACACTTCTCAGAAGAAGATATACAACTGATCAACAAATATATGAAAAAATGTTCAACATCTTTAGTAATTAGAGAAATGCAAATCAAACTACTCTAAGATTTCATCTCACTCTAGTCAGAATGGCAGTTATCAAGGGTACAAGCAATAATAAGTATTGACCAGGATGTGGAGGAAAAGGCACACTCATACATTGCTGGTGAGACTGCAAGATGGTGCAACTACTTTGGAAAGCAGTGTGGAGATTCCTCAGAAAACCTGAAATAGAACCATCATTTGACCCAGCTGTCCCACTCCTCAGTCTATACCAAAAGTACTTAAAATCAGCATACTACAGTAACACAACCACATCAATGTTTATAGTAAACTGTGGAACCAACACAGATGTATATATACATAATGGAATATTACTCAGCATTAAAAGAGAATCAAATTATGGAATTTGCTGGTAAGTGGATGGAGTTGGAGAATATCACTGCTAAGCCAAGTAAGCCAATCCCCCCAAATTAAAAGCCAAATATTTTCTGATTAGTGGATGCTGATCTGTGATTGGGGGGGGGATAATGGAGGAAGTTTGGATTGGGCAAAGGGGAGGGTGGAGAAGGGTCAAGTGGATAGGAAAGATGGTGAAATGAGATGGACATCATTGCCCTAGGTACATGTATGATTGCACGAATGGTGCATCTCTACATCATATACAACCAGAGAATTCAAATGTTGCACTCTATTTGTGTATGATGAATTGAAATGCATTCTGCTGTCGTGTATAACTAAGTAGAACAAATTAAAAAAAGGTATGGATAAGAGACAACATAAGACATCACAGGACATCAGATATCAAGGATGGGTGATTCTTATCAAGCCAATTTAGCAGAATTCTTGCTGAAGCCAGGTTAGTAGGGACAGAGAAATAAGAAAGAGGGAGGCCAAGGTCAAGGCTTAGTGGAGAAGAGGGCTCACAACTAACTAAAGTTTGCTCAAGGGGAGCCTTTGTTCCCTCCTTCTCATCTCACAGGAAATAAAGTCTCCAAAGAGGCCAGGGGAAAGTTGACAGGGTAACCCAACTGGGGCTGTAAGGGTAGGGAGACTCTGTCGCAGGATGTCATACACATACATGACTCTCGTTTTCCATTTGTTAGCTGGTTATGAGACCCCATTTCCTCCCAGTTACTCTGGTGGGTGTATTTTCTTCCTGTGGCGGCTGTAATGATTACCACAAACAAGGTGGCTTACAACAACAGAAATGTGTTCTCTTGGTCCTGTGGGCCAGCACTCTGAAGTATGCCTCCCTGGGCTGAAATAAGGGTGGGAAGAGCCACCACTCCCTCTGCAGGCTCTGTGGGAGAATCCATGCTCACCTCTCTCAGACAGTGTTCCCAGGCTGTGGCCACAGCACTCTCATCTCAGCTACCTCCTCACAAGGCCTTCTGCTCTCACCTCCTCCACCTCCCTCATAAGAATAGTGATTGCACTTAGGGCCCACCTAGGGAATTCACACTAACCTGTCCATCTCAATTACACCTGCAGGGATTTCATGATCTTAATCAAATCTAGAGGTTTTATAGATTTATTTGCAATAAAGTGATCATTGAGGCTTAAAAAAAAAACATTTTTTTTTTGGCAGTTCCAAATAGCCAAATATAGTCAATTCTGGGGACATCTCAAGTTTGCTTTTGAGAAAGGGTAAATTCTGGGGCTAGCGATGTCGCTCAAAGGTAAGACCCTTGCATTCTCGGGGGAATGTTCTTCTGAACACATTTGTTACGTCAAGTTTGTAAATCATGTTAAGTTTTCTATAGCTTGATTTTTCTCTTGCTTGCCTTAACATTTACTGAGAAATCCCTATGAAATCTCCACTTTGACCATGTTTTTCTTTGTGTTCTGTCAAGTTTAACTTTCCATGATTCACAGTAGGTGTTGCTTTGTTACTCAATAAGAATACCTTCTGAGAAACGCACCATTAGGCGACATCATTCTTGTGTGAACATCAGAGTGTACTTCCACTATGAAAGTCGCAGTGTCACTTGGAGACAGCCTTAATGAATGCTGTCGCATATGCAATCATTAAGTGAAACTTTTCATTAGGTACATATACCTCTTAAATGTATTTTTTCTAGCATGGAAGGCTTCCAGGATCCTCTCGCCCTCTTTGAATTTCGCGGGCGGTACTGAGACGACACACCTTTACGGAATGACGCCAAGGTGCAGGCATGCCCAGGCTCAGATTCCACAGGCCGGCGGGCCTCGCCACGGCTCCGTAGCCCAACATCCCGCAAGGACCCGGGCACCCTTTCCCGCGCCGGGGAAGAGATGCGCCGACCAAGGGCAGCGCCGGTCTTGCTTCCGGGTCCCGCTTCCACCCCAGGCCGGGAGGGGGCGCTCTGGCGCGAGGACACCGCCAGACGCGGGGGTGAAGAGCCGCGTAAGCCCGCTCGCCGCGCCCTCGCAGGCCGAAAGTCCCCTCAGGGAAGGGCTCGGAAGTCCCGCCCCCGCGCACGGCGACGGCAGCTCGGAAGTGCCCTTCTAACCCCGGCCGTTCCGCCGCGAGCTGCGGGTAGTGGGCTAGTCGAGCCGAGCCGGCGGCGCACTTCCGGGGGTGTAGCACTCGCGCTTCTCCGCCGCGAGTGCGAGGGCCCAGCAGCTCGGCATGGCGGCGCCCTCCAGGAAGGAGCGGCAGGCGTGCTGGGGCGCGCGCGACGAGTACTGGCGGTGCCTGGACGCCCACGCCGAGGACGCGGCCCTCTGCCGGCGCCTCCGCAGCTCCTTCGAGGCCAGCTGCCCCCAGCAGTGGGTGAGTCGCCGGCGCGAAGGTTACGGCATTCTGATACCTGGGCTGGGGCGCGACGAGTGCGCGCAAACACCCCCGGGAGCTACCGCTGGGCGGGGCCCGATGTGAGCGTGTAGATCGCTCCGGGACGACGTGAGCGTGCAGACCACCCCGGAGCTACCCCGGGGCTGTGGATGGGCGGAAGCGTGCAGACCGCCCCGGAGCTAAACCCGGTGCTGTGGACGGAGCGCGCAGACCGCCCCGGAGCTATCCCGGTGCTGGGGCCTGACGTGAGCTTGCAGACCACCCCGGGGCTGTTGACAGGCGGGAGCGTGCAGATCCCCCGGAGCTCCCTCGCGCGGGGGACGGTAGTGAGTTTGTAGAGCGCCTCGAAGCCTCTGTGGGTTCTCAGACGTGAGCATCGTGGACTTCTCGGGGCTTTACTTCAGGAGCATTGCTAGACGACGCAGACCTGCTGTCAGTGCCCCTCCGAGCAGCGCCTCTGTGGCCCTGCAGTCTTGCAGCAAGCGCTCCCCTGCATGCTGTCAGCATCCCTGCTCTGCTCCATGATCTTGAGCCCAGGCTGTGTGAGTTAGCCTGCCTCTTGGGTGTCCGCCCTTGCCGCAAGTTCCCCTTTGCTCTCTTCTTGGTGTCACCTTGTTGAGCTCCTGCCCAGCTGCCACAAAATAAAAGCTGAAAGGTTTTTCCCAAGAGGCATGGGAGAGGGCCTTCTTCCAGAGACATTTCTTTCCTTCCACTGTAATTTTCCTTCTATTTGGGGGGGAAGCCATGTTGTGTCTAGAGTAACACAATAGGAAATAAGTCTCAGATTAGCCTAGCAGTTGAGCAGACAGGGAACTTGCCGGTAAGTCTCCTGATCCCAGAATCTGCCTCATGTCTTAGATGTCCCAGCAATCCAGGTGAAGAATGATGAGGACCTGCTCTGTACAGGGACAGTGATAAATGTATAGCTTTGAGAGAAGCTCAGTTGGAGAGGGGCTAAGTTCTGGCCTCTTGGGGCTGACAGGACAGTAGGACCTCTAAGTGGAATTGTATGTTGTGTGGTTGAAGATAGGACCTGAAACTCCATGCTCTTAATTTGCCACAAAAACACGAAGGACATGATCACCTTCATTTGGTATCCTTTCTGTAACAGCCACCCTAGACTACCAGGGATAAGTCTGTAGTGCCGCAGCATATGGAGATGTTGTAGCCAGGGAGACACACACCAAAAGACAGATGCATCTCACCAAACAGGGAAAGAGTTACTGAAGAGTTTAGGGGAAAGATCAAACTTGGGTAAGTTTTAAATGAAGCACTTTTGATGGTGTTGGAGCAAAGCAGAGATTGTGTATGAACAGACCCTCATCATCTCTGGACTGAGAAGGGGACTTGGTAAAGACTGAATGTCAAGGGGCTAGGATTGTGGCTCAGTGGTAGAGCACTTGCCTAGCATGTATGAGGCCCTAGGTTCAATCCCCCTCCCCAAATGATTGAATATCATTTGCAAAAGTCCCATATTTGAAGCTTGTGCCTGGGGTGCAGATCAGGGATGCTTTTCTGGGCAAAAGTGGGATGCTTCTTCATTCTTACTGAAAAAATGTTAAAGTGCAAACTTGTGACCCCCTGTGATTTTAGAGAACAGGGTTTCTCAGTGAATAAGAAAGCAGGGCTCAAATCCTAAGACTCAAATCCTTTTGGATGTTGATGGCTGCAGCCCTTCCTTGGGAGAAACACTTGCTTGACAGCTGTTTCTCAGTTCTATCCTGTGGCTTGATACCAGGCATGGTAGATTTTCACATTCTCAGTCCATTCTAATATCTGCTCTCAAACTCCACTAAAATATTTAAGAATTGGATCCTAAGAAAGGCTTTCAACAAAAGAACTAGTGCTGTCTGGTCGGCCTCATGGTGCACACGGGTGGTACTCTGCCCCTGCCTTGCCTGGCAGCAGCTCAGGTATACGCTGTGGCAGTTTTATGGCAGCCACATTTGCTTCCTTGGCCTGCATTTTCTACTTCTAGGATTTTGCCATGTCAAAATATTCTTCAGGGGCTGGGGTTGTGGCTCAATGGTAGAGCACTTGCCTCGCCCATGTGAGGCCCTGGGTTTGAACCTCAGCACCACGTAAAAATAAACAATATAGGTATTGTGTCCATCTATAACTTAAAAATATATATATTCTTCAAATTCACTATGAAAAGAGGAAAACAAAACCAAATCATCAATAAACTTAACTTTTACCCTCAATTCATAAATGTAATTTTCTTATGTCTGTCTCAAGTGTTTGTTTCTGGACGAGTAATTTGTGGGTGATAAACATTAAACTTAGAACCACCCAGCATTTCAAATCTGAAGACTCCTAGCCTAAGCCAGAGCTTTGAGGACTCAGACTGCTGGAAGACTCTAAGGTTGTACAGTCCTGTAGAAGGTTCCTGGGCTAGCCAGAGAGCAGGGTCTCGAGCCCCTGAAGGTCTAACTCACCTGTTACCCCACTTCTCAGGGGCTCACTCCCCAGATGACTGACTGGTTCCAGAATACAAATCCCTTTGCTATTTCTGTATGGATTTATAATGAATAATTTGTTGCACTTAAATCTGCTTTTGCTTATTAAGCTGCATAACTTGCCCTAAGTTAAGCCTTTTTCATCTCAACAGATAAAATATTTTGATAAAAGAAGAGACTACTTAAAATTCAAGGAAAAATTTGAAGCGGGACAGTTCCAGCCTTCTGAATCAACTACAAATTCCTAGGAACTTCTTGAACTTTTCATAAAGGTTGAAATTATTCTTTCTGGACATTAAAAAATGCTGTGTTGATTCTGTGACAGTAGTAGTTTGACATGGCATACATCAGTACTTGTTCGCTGTGTACAGTACTTCATGACAAAATTGGACAAGTAACAGAAGATCCATGTTTCAACTATGAAGACTTGAAGTACAGTGGTTTAAATATACCTAGTTCTAATTTAGTAAGAAATTTATTTTAAGAAACTATTAAAACCAATTATAAAAACACATTGATCTTTTTTTGGAATAGATGATGAGTAGTGGGGAAATATTTACAATGGATATTATAAATAGAAGCTGTCACTCTATGTTCTTGGGAATCAACACTTGAATATAGGCATTATAGCTTGAGGTTGGAAAAGGTTGAACTCAGAATACACAGGTAAAATGTAAAGCCATCTATTAGAAAACCTGCAGCTAATGTTATACTAGATGATGAGAGAATGACTGTATTCCTAGTTAGTTCAGTGAGGCAAAAAAGGAAATCAAAGACAGATCAGGAAGGAAGAAATAAAGCAGGTTCTATTCACAGCTGATATAATTGAGAAACACTAAAGAATGGGGAAAAAAAAACGAAAAGGTATAATACAACCTAGAGACAATATTTGTAGATAGCATAGTTCATGAAGGACTTATATATACAAAATATAAAACCAAAACCCCCTTTTATGAAAAATCATCTGGGCATGGTGGTGCACACTTGTAATGCCAGCAGCTCAGGAGGCTGAGGCAGGAGGATCACAAGTTCAAAGCCAGCCTCAACAGTTAAGATTGTCTCAAAAGCATCTGGGGTTGTGGCTCCATGCTTAAACACCCCTAGGTTCAATCCCTGGTGCCAAAAAAAAAAAAAAAAAATTGGTGGGCATATTATGCAAATAGATACTGAAAGATAATATACAATGGGAAGTAAACATGAAAAGTGCTCTATTATTAAATATTAGATTAATGGAAATTAGTACTTCGATGATACATCATCACTCCCCTCTTAGAATGACTTTGAAGTTGACAATCCTCAAGGCCGACAGGAAGGTGCAGCAGTTACTCATTCCCTGCAGTGGGTGTGAGACCTAGGAAAGCCCCTCTGGAGAGCAGTTAAGAGTGACGGTGACCCATAATCCAGCAGCCTCACTCCTAGGTCTTTCACAAATGAACTGCAAATTATATAGGGATGTTTGCTTAAAGCAGCTTTATTCATGCCCAGGTCTGGGTTTCTAACACTGTTCTCCAGTGAATTGTGCCAGGGCTCTTAGAGATGTCCCACTCCACCAAGGAGAGAGATGAAACAGACCTAGAGCATCATGTAAGAGTAAGGGAGCAGTAAGAACAAGGTCCCAGAAGCCTGCTGAGGACACAGGATGTCCACACTGATAGAAAAAAGAAGTCTTCTCTAACAAGGAATTCCAACAGGTGAATAGAGCACCAGCAGTACATGCCACAGAAGTAACTACTGCAGGTAGTGTCCATCCTGAACACAAACATCAGTGGTGGACAGAACAAAGAGACATTAATAAGTACAGTTGCAACTTCTCATATGACCATTAAGTATGCAGGAAAAATCATGACTTTCCCAATTAATGCAACTACTTCTAAAGAATAAATCTGTTTGCTCTAAATGCAGTGATTCAGCTGTGGAATGTAAACTGTTAATGTTTAATGAAAAAAAACTCCCTGTATTCCTGTCAAGGAAGTTTTTGAGAAATTAAAATCTAGAGAAGAAGAATTAATGTTAAGAAGACAAATTAGTGCTTAGTACTGGGCAACTTGTTCTTGTTCCTGTGCACAATGGTGTGTGCTCTTACTCTTGTTTGATTAAAATTAAGAGCCTCTTTTTTCAAGTTAACCGCTTGCCGTAACCGTGGCAACGGTTCCAGTCAGTAAGTCAAGAAAGAATAGTCAAGGTATAGGCCAATAGTTTGGGACATTTTTAACTATTATTAAAAGTTAACTAAGCAGAAATAGCTCAAAGCAAAACATGAACTGAAAGGAAAAATGCTTATACATAAGCCAAGATACATTCTTCTATTCTAATTGTAGCTACGTAATATTGTTTCTTTGAATAATGATTCCTGTTTTGTAACCACAAAGTACTGTGAGCCTGCCAAAATGAAAAGTATACATGATTAACTTCACAAGTAAAGATTGGGATTCAGCACCTTCACTTTGGTGTCTGTGTTGTTTCTCCACCCCCCTTTCACTGACTCCTCACCATCCGTTCGTCTCCTAAGACCCTCTTTTGGAGCTGGACTCTGACATTAGAGAGAGAATTTTTAAAATATTTATTAGTTTTCGGTGGACACATCATCTTTATTTTTTTTAATGTGGTGCTGAGGATCGAACCCAGCACCCCGCGCATGCCAGGAGAGCGCACTACCGCTTGAGCCACATCCCCAGCCCCCAGGATGTCCTTTAATGACTGCCACAGTCTTGACAAGAGCCACAGACTCCAGTGCTCCCCTTCCACGGGGAGCTTGCTTCCCCTACCCTTGAGGCAGGCTGGGCAGAGTGACTTGCTTTTGACAAAGGCATGGAGAGGGAGAGAGCAAATTTAGAGAACAATGCAGCAGAAGAGGTCTTCACCAGATGGAAATGATGGAGTCGTGAGCCTGCCCCGCTGCCACCATGTCTGTCTTACCTCATGGCAGAAGAGGCCCCTTCACCTGCTCTTAGAACCTGTAACCTCCAAGGATATGCCAGACAAACCCAAATCCTGGGACGTTTACAAAACACTGGACCAGCACTCTTCAAAATAACACTTAATGTAATGTGTATCCAAACCTGGATTAGCTCCAGGGACAGGAAAAGGACAGTAATGGAAAACAGGAAACTGGACTCGAGTCTGCAACTTGGTGAAGAGCACCTCGATCAACACCAATGTCCTAATTCAGATGAATGCACTGTGTTTTATAAGATCACTTAGGCATCACAGTGAAGCAGGTATAAGGAAACTTCTGTGCTATTTTTGCAGTCCTTGTGCAAAATGAAAGTTAGTTTCAAAATTATAGAAGAAAAAGTAAATATATGGGTATGAACTAGGAAATTTGTTACTAAAAGACCCAGATATAATTGAAGGTCATTGCTGGATGGTGATATATGGTTACTATTAAATAAGAAAGTCAAATTACCAAATTAAAAAAAAGACAGAAGAAGCCCACCAACAAACACTCAGTGAACTTCATTCTCAGCTTCAGCAGCAATTTGGAGGAGTCATTCGAGTTCTTTGTGTTCTCGTTTGTAGTTTTCTCGATACAGACTATTTCTAACCATTACTTCATCTCTCTGAACAAAGATGCATTTGAGAAATTTCCTAAGAACTTAATATGAATGACTATGGCCTACTTCATGGTTTGTGAACTTTACAGGGAAGCTGGCTTAACATCTTGTCAAACAAGGTAGGGAAGGCAGAGTACTGCAGGAGGCCAGACTACCTTCCTCCAGTGCCTTTGCCTTGTTTTCCTGCTTCGTCCCCATGACCTCAGGGTTCCGGTGCTTGGAGGTGAGGGCTGTTCAATTCTGCCTCACTTTACTTTGAGTGCACTTTGTATTCCTGATGATATTAACTTCTAGAAGGACTTTTTTTTTTTAAATGTTGTTTTATTTTCATAATTATGTAAAATGTTTTATTAATAAGCAAAATCATGTATCTATATAAAGATTTATCAAAGGAGAAAATATATAATGATATATTTAAGGCACATTGAACAAGTTTTTGGCATTAAATTGCAAGAACAAAAAAAATTCATATCCCAATAAATGTCAGAATCTCTTTCATTATTCCAAATAGTTTAAAAAGCAGTCAAGAGGCACCGTGACCACTGAGGTAAGGCACAGGCTTCACGATGAGGCTCCTGTACGCCTGAGCAGCTGCTGCCTGGTGTACTCCCAGATCAGCAGGGCCCCGCTCACGTGCACGTTCAGTGAGCGGATGACGCCCTGCTGGGGAATCTCCACACACATGTCCAGCTGCTGTAGAAGGTTGGCAGGAATGCCTTCCCGTTCATTGCTGAGGAGGAAAATGCAAAAGATCTGAGTTTTCTGACAATAACAATTTTTTTCCTGGTTATTCTGTTACCAAATCAGACAGACAGATGAAGGAAGTGTGGTTTCAGGAAATAAATAAGACTAACAGAGATCTACAGGTCAATTCTGTGTCCTCCTGACCCTCCTGGACAGGTGAAATAAAAGGAAAACTAGGGGGTTTCCATCAACATTCCAGGCCAAAGGCACAGCTGAAGGCCCAGGAAAACTGCCAGATGAGAAACACATTCCAAGGGTGCAGGGAGGCCACTCACCCCAATAGGAGCAGCGACTTCTCAGGGAAGCAGAACTGGGCCAAGTCTGAGCTGTGGGCAGTCTGCTCTACACCAATGACCGTGTAACCTGCTGCCCTTTTCTGTTGCAGATAACTAGGGAGCTGATGCGGCTTCACCTGAATGTCAGTTTGTAAAGAGCAGAAAATAAATCAGTTACAGCCCTGTGTGGAGTAAAATGAAAGTTAACAAAAAAAACCTCTTAAATTAGTTAAAGGTATTTTTAAAGGAAAAAAAAAATCACAACTATATATATATTTTTTAAGAAAACCCTCCCAACTCACAACTTTATAAGAATTATTTCTAAAAATCAAGAGTGAGCTGTATCAGGACACATTTTACTGAAAATAATATCGAATTATTGATGATTTCTAAAAATAAAACTGAAATATGGAGAACAGTATTCTTTTAAGTATTGTTTTTAATCTATGAAAGGCTGAATTCCTACAAATTCTTGCAGAAGGCCTGCCTAACACATAAAGACAAAACACTGCACACTGCCCCAGTAAAAGTTCAATAACAGATTACTTTCCACCCACCTCCACCAGAGGAAGCCACTGTTCAGCTGAGACACTGAGGTGCTGAAACTGCTTGTCACGGACACAATGAAGGTTGCTGACCACCAGCACTGAGGCCCCGAACACCTCACAGGTCCGGCACAGGCCTGTACAGAACACCTGTGTCATCCAGACGGTCCTCATCATCACACCACACTCATCAGATCCCACTGCTTCCCCAAAAGCTCTCAGAGGGCTAAATGTAGAGGACACAACCAAAGCGGGCAGGGGACCAGAGTCCAGGTCCAGAGATTTCAAGCAAACTACCTGGAAAACCATGGTTTACCTCCTAAATTAGTTGGTTTATCAATTAGCGAGGCCACTACAATCAGTCTGCTGATGGACTTTCCAAGTTTGGCAGCACGGTCCTGGAGCACAAGCTCCAGGTCTGTGTCGAGGAGGTCGTGTCCCCACGGGATGATCTTCTTCTGCACATCAGCCTGCTCAGAAGGGCCATCTGCTTCCCTTGAGCCAGTGCCTGGGAAGAGAGAGGACACCAGGGTCCACGAGTCAGGTCCAGTGTCTGTGTGGGTCAAGGAGCACCCACTGAGACCGACCTGTTCACTGACTGACTGAGAAGCTGCTTGGATCCAAACATGTCACCATTTTCAGTAGTAATTCTTGGATTTCAAATTCAGCTCTAGTAATCAATATATTATAAGACATTTCATAAAAACAGAAGATATACTATGGTTCACATTTTCGCATATACAAAATTGGGAAGCAATTTAGAATCATAGTTGTTTAATATTTTTTTCTTAGAGGTAAATAATGGCATATTTTACAAACAACAACATAATATCAAATTGGAATTTTTATGGAAATATGTTCCTAAAAAGAATATAAATGAAATTTTTTTTTCTTAAATTTCACTAGAAGTACCTGGGGTAACTTTCTAAAATGAAGGCTGTGCCATAAAAGAATCACCTCTTGACTCAACTGGTGGGCACCAGATGTCATTAACCTATCTAACTTCAGGGTCTGCTCGAGACAAGACTGAGTCCATGCTGGAGCTCTTCCTTTGTCCCCCCAAATGGACCACCAGCCAATGAACAGTCGTTTGCTGGGGATGGGGCAGACGTGCAGGAAACCACGACAATCCCAAGGGCATGCTCACACAGGAGGGATGAGTAGCATCCGTGGCAGGAGTCAGACCCAAGGGCCCAAGGAGGGAGGTCACAGCTTCCAGGGGAGACAGCTGTGCATGTGCAGATGTGGAAGGAAAGTGACCTGGGCATCAGTAAGTGCTATGGCTTAGCTCAGCCTGCACCAGACCACAGGCTCTACCTGTCTGAGGTGAGGGATTTATTCTATACAGAGGAGCCCCTGGGGCATTTGAAGATGGGGGATAATGGCAGTGATGTTGTTTGATTAGAGAAATCCCTCTTGGGAGTGATGTTGGGAAGCACTGGGCTGAGAACGGACACAAGGCTCGTGCACTGGCCATGGTGGAGACAGTGAAGTCGGAAAGTCCTCACCACAGGGGGTTGGAGGGCAGGAGAAGCAGCCAGCTGGCTGAAGCTCCACCACCAAGGCTGGGTGGTGGGTGGATGTAGCAAGAGGAGACCAGGAAAAGAATGACAGAGTGACCATTAATAGAGGGCACAGAGAGGAGGCGAGGTGGACAGAAAGTGGAGTCCAGTCTGGATGTGCTGAGTTTAAAGAGCTTGAGGAACAGTGGGCTGCAGAGGTCTAGTCAGCTCAGGCCGAGAGACGGAGGACTGCAAGCAGGTAGCTCAGAGGGGAGCTTTCAGAAGTGGCCACTGGTGAAGCGCATGGGGAGAGCACTGAGCATGATGACCAGGCCAGAGACCTCAGAGACAAGGAAGACCACAACACAGATCCTCTACTCCTGGAAGGGGCAGAGGAGATCCATATTGTGGTCCTTCTGGAAACCTGATTTTTACAGATACAGAGCAGTGAATATTAACCAACCACCTATTCTAGAGAACAGGGAAGCTGCTGTCTTGCTGCAGCCAAGCTGCCTCTCCCCTGGAAGACTAGGTCAAGGCCACACCACACTCCCACACCTCCACTGCTGCACCAAGGTGGGCAGACAAGAGGCGTCACCCACCCCTGCTCTACGTGACAAAAACAGTGAATTCATGTACAAACAGGGAAATAAGGAGAAGCAGCTCTCTACCTGCGTCCTGCTGGGACCAGTCCCCGGGATTTAGCTCATAGAGCGGAGTCCGAGAAAGGCACCACAGGGGCCCTGAACCTGAAGGGACATCTGTGAAGCTGGAAAATCTGTCAAGGGTGATCCACTCCTCTTCAATGACGCCCGAGAGCCGTGGGAGGGTGTAAAAGATGGTCTGGAAACAGAATTGTAAAAATAACAAAGAAACATGACATGTCAGCAGCAGTACTCTGTTACTGATGTGCTCTCCCAAGCCCTCTGATCTGGTCAGAGCTCTCATTACCAAGTGATACTCAGAACCTAGATTCTGGCCTCCCATGTTCCTCAGCTGTGTGGCATTAAGCAAGTCGGAGCCTTCTGTCTCTAGGTCCCCATAAAGTGAGGACACAGTCAGATTCCAGCAGCAAGTGAAAGGGCTCAGGACCTGCACAGGGGCTGCTGGGCACAGTCACATCTGAGCAGCCCCCCTGCACTGACCTTTTGAAAGAAAACCCAGCACAGGGGTGCTCACCACAGGGAGGTGTCAAGGGGGCGAGGCCCAGATGCTGTGCAGCTCAAGTAAAATGCTGCCTTGGGACAGCGCTCCTGTCCTCAGGAAAGCTTTTAGCATGCGCATGGTTTTCTGGTGCCACTACAGCTGTGCAGACTTAACTGGCATCCAGACCACAACCGAGTGTGTACCAGGTCAGTACCGAGGCCCACTCCACACAGACCAGACCATTCATCAGGTCACATACAGTCATGACCTGTGTGGCAGCAGGAGGCAGGGGCCAAGGGACCGAGGGATACCACAGATGCAGCAGTCCTGCTGGGAACCTGACCAGAGGAGGCTGACAAGGCCAGGGAGGCCAAAGGGTCCTTCAGGAGACCTCAGGCACCAAGGGATGCAGAGCAGAGGGGTGTAAGACACAGGAACAGCCCTGACAGTACTGGGAGTGAAGCCCCAGAGGATGCTCAGGAATATTCTCCAGTGTGTGGCTCTCGATATGCAGTTCTGTGTTTAGAGGCCAGTCCATGGGTAATCCAAGGATCACTGGCGTGCACACTGGCTGAAGCTACTGATGCCAACCAGACCTCCCAGGGAGTAGTCCTAAGTCCAAGGACTGGAACTCCATACAGCACATTATAACTAGAGCTGCAGGAGGGAGAAGGTGCTATGCTTTGTTCAAAGTTAGTGAGTTACACAGTGCATTAATTATATTAACTGTAAGAAACGGGATCGTGGGTCTTAAAATTATATAAGCACTTTCTGTTACAACCAGTGAGGGGGTACATCATTTGCTCTACAATTTTAATTACCCAGACCTAAAATATGCCATGAATGAAAGAACAGATATTTTCCTTTATTACCAGGGGGCTTCCATTCAATAAAATCTCACCTGCACCTGCTCTTACTCACTTGCCTTTTAGGAATCTGCTCTGATTTCTGTTTAGAGTTAGAGTTTCCCTTCCAGGACTTACAAGCCAGACAGACACATCCCACTGCTAAGGGGGTCTGCAAGCAAGCCTGCTGCCTAAGGTGACAGAATCCTACTCAGGAGTCAGGAGGCTGAGGTGACTGGGAGGACAACTGGCCTAGTCTCCGAAGTCTCCACAGTTGGCATCAGGCTGAAGTCACAGTAGGCCCCTACAGGCGGCTTTCTCTGCTCACCTCCAGACAGTAATCCTCCAGGGGGTGAAATGTGGCAAAGAAGAAGTGGTCCTGGATGCGCTGCCAGTTCTTCTTGGCATTCCTAGGGCAGGGAGCAAGGCATGAGGTGCAGTAAGGGACCAGACGACTCTGCAGGGTTGCACCGTGGGTAGGCGAGGACTGTCACTGTCATCCAGGCTTATACTGCAGCTGGCATCTCTGGGACCAACCTACTTTACAACGCCCCCCTCCTTTGGCCTTGTTGGGGATAGACCCAGGGCCTTTGCATGCTAGGCGAGCCCTCAACACTGAGCACAGGCCAGGCCATAAAATCTCACATTTTAAAATGGAGCTCAAAGAAAAACAGAGCAATTAAGTGACCTTCAGTAACCTGAGAACTGGGGGTTCAACTTCTGTTCTGAGAAGTAGGTCCCTGAGCCTTAGGTGCAGCCACCATCTAGCAGAGCAGGAAGGGGGTGAGAAGCCTCAGGTGGTCTCAAGCAAGGTGGGAAAAGGACCTCTGCCACTGCCTGAGGACAGGAGCCCTCTGGGGGGACCCTTTTCTCCAGGAGAAGCAGCCATTCCACAGTCGTTTCTACTCCTCAGCCCCACCCACTGTCCACCTGCACCGCCTTTGTCACACTAGACACACAGAAAATGAGCAGGGCTTACATCACAGCCATCGGTCAGGTTTTAAAAGGCAAAAGTAGAGGTAAAAAGAACAACACAGAGAGACTCAGTTTAAAGTCGGGATCATCAGCACCAAAACCCACAGCAATTCTGGGACCTCTTGCTGGCAGGCCTCATCTGCTTGGCCAGGCACCTCCTTGGCTCCCCAGCACTGCAGCCAGAGGCAGAAAAGGAGGAGGGAGCACCTCCTCCCACTGCCTCCTTCCAGGGCTCTCCAGCAGTGCCAGGGAAATTGACATTGCCTCCTTCCCTCTGCTCTGTGCTGGCCCACCAGCTAACTATTCAAATCAGGTCCAGCATTAAAACAGAACCTCACTACGGTTTCCTTCAGAGGGATACGTCATGGCACTGCCATGTGATGGAATGTTAGGTCCTGTTGGAAGAAACACTGATTTCCCAGCATTACAGAGAGGAAGACTCAAGGAAAGGACACGAGGTGCAGGCTAGGCAGTGTCCAGGGTGGGAGTGGGACCAGAGCACGGTGCGTGTCCGACCACTTGGGGCTTGCTAAGCTACAGGCCCCAACCCCAACACCCTGCCTGTTCTCCTGGCTCCTGGGTGAGCGCTTGGTGTGGAGGAGATCCTAGAGGAGCCAGAATGGGTGGAACTGGCGGGGCAGGGGGCAGAGGGCAGAGTCTGCACACAGGGAGCAAGAGGCCCTAATGGTAGGCAAACCAAGGTCCTGCTGCAGCTCCACCTGGCCCGGCTCCTGGGCCTGTGGCTGAATGTAATCCAAGGAGTGGGTGCCCGCCAGGCCGGGCCTCTTCCGCCTCCCCTGGCTCTGGTAGAGCAGCGAGTGGCCATCCTTACCCTGCACCATGCATGCTCTCCACCTGGCTGAGACTACACTCTATGAGAGCCGTCCACGCGTCACACTCCTCCACGCAGAGGGCTTTGCACACTGCCCAGACCTTCTTCAGAGCTATCAGAGCGTACAGCCGGATGCTAAAGTTGTGGCTGAGACCCCATTTCATTGCAATGAGGAGGGCCTGCTTTAGTACTCGCCTCTGGAAAGAAAGGGAGACTCCGTGAGAGGTGCACAGGTGGGCAGCTCAATCCCAACTGAGGGGAAGGTGGATACATGGGGAAATCCTCCCCACGCCCCCGAAGTGTCTGCTCAGTGCCCTCCTGGGTACATCCGCTCACGCATCAAGCCTACCCAGGAAAGCAGGCGCTTTGGGCTGCCTGTTGTCACAGCTGCGGCATGTCCCCTACCCCAGAGTTCCTATGCCAACCTGACAGAGCTACAGTGCTGTAGCTAAGCTGGACTGAGGACATAGCAGCTCCTGTAGGAGCCAACTTGGTGACTCTGATGTGCCCCTAAGTGAGACCCCACAGTGCCGCTCTCCCTGCCCTGGTTTCTGAGCTGTGTGTTCCCTGAAGGTGACCTTAAACCACATGGCAGGCATGTCCGTAAAGTTAAGAAGAGGAGAGAACAACGAAATAGTGTCAAGTGCCCTGTGGTCTCTCCCTGTGAACTCTAACCTCACGGCCTAGGAACAGAGCACACCACCACCCTGAATTCTGAATCACCTGGTTCCACTAGTCAATGCTGACAGCCACGGGGACCAATGAAACTTAATGTGGAAGCAGACCTCAACTTTTGACGCACCAGAAGCTGCCTGGATGCTCCCACCACACGCTCCCCAAGCCACCTAGACACACTTGCCAGGTGCCCCCAGCTGAGATTCTCGGGAGCTTCTCCTACTGAGGCACAGCCAGAGCCACCAGGTGCGTGGTCAGCCCAGGACCACGCCCTGGCCCATGGCTCCCGAGCAGGGCTGAGGCTTTCTCAAGTGTCGCCAGCACTGCACTTCAGAGACACATGCATGGTCACACCACTTGCATGTGTCTCTGAAGAGTCTCCCCCCCACCTCCCGTGAGCAGCACTGTGATGAGTGCTATGTCACCACAACAGTGGCAGGGCAAAACTCAGGAGGAGGTGGGAGGACACTGAGGACACTGAGGAACTCAGTGCTCAGAAAACAGAGTAACAGTGACATGCAGAGAGCAGGTCCCCAGGCCAAAAGGAAGAACAGCTCAGGCCGGGAGCATGTGGGAGCCGAGACATCGGCGCAGGCTGCAGGACCAGGCCACTCACTTCAGAGGGAGAAAGCCAGCAAGTGAACCCCACACAGGATGCCACTTGGCAATTGGGAAGGCAAAAAGGGAGCGCAGAGTGCCAGCTACCATGCCTATCCTGCTCAGGGGCACCCGGCACACACAGCGACACCTAACTTGGGCAGCACTGCGAGCCCCCTATGAGGTACACAGGCAGCACTGCTGGGTGCACAGCTCAATGGGGGTCACCCACCCTCACAGAAGTGGCGCAGGCGAGGCAGACGTCCCAGAGTAACACAGCCTTGCAGGGCCTCCCTGACCTCAGGACCCACACCTGCTGCTCCCTGGGCCCTGGCCATTGGCTCACTATCCTCTTTGGGGCCTTGTTCTTAATCTTCTTCTGGGAAGGGTCCTCCCCGGCCACCCCCACCCCCACAAGGAGTTCCTCTGCAGAAGCCCTTGTCAAACACCCCACTCAAGGAAGGCAGCCCGTTAAAGAACCCTCACGCTGCCAGGCTTGGGCATACTCCTATCCTTCCAGAAGCTAGGAAGGATGGCGAGTTCAAAGCCAGCCTCGGCAACAGTGAGGCATTAATTAGCTCAGTGAGACCCTATCTCTAAATAAAACACAAAGTAGGGCTAGGGATGGGGCTCAGTGGTGGAGTATCTCTGAGTTCAATCCCTGGTATCCAGATATACAAAAAACCCTCATAAAAGCAAAAACCATCCACATCAACAGAATCACCACTAATGTGACTACAGATGTGGTGTCTACTCAGTGTGCAGGTTAGTGCTAAGGTCTCACTGTGGGGCTGTGTATATGCCCACCAAGCCAGTGGAGGGACAGGGACAATTGCAAAACTGCAATAAACACTTTACACTTCAACACTGGTACAAATACACACAGCACCTGTTTTGAAACTCAAGTTTAAAATCTTCTTACAAATAATATGAACTTACCTTTTCTGGAATATTTTGAATGATAATGTCCAAATGTGACAAAACAGATAAAAATGTACAAATACTTGTTTTAAGTTTTTCTTCACCCTGAAAGAGAATTAGATAAATGACCACAAGTGTCCTGTGAGCCAAGACTCGCCAGCCCAAGGGGGACTCTGCAGGGGAGGACAGCATGACCTATGCAGGGACAGGATAGAAAGCCAGACAGGACAGGGCTCCCTGGATCCAGGGTAGGTGCACATGGCCCTTGGAAGGCAGGCACAAAGCCTGTACTGCACAACCCTGAGGTGGGGCGAGCCCAGGACCCGCCCTGTGAAGGTCTGGCCTGCAGGGTAGGAAGGGCAGCCTCAAGAGGAGGAGACTTGGGAGCAGGAAGAAGACCAGGGGAAAGGAATAAGAGAGACAGAGACTTGGCGGCTGAGGCAAGGCAGAGGTTGCCAAGGACGGGGCGGGGCAGGGCAGGGCAGGGCAGGGCCCTAGCACCAACACAGTCAACAGGGCACCATGGGAGACTTGAGCTGTGGAGAAAGGCTACAGAGGGCACAGTGGCCAGCGGGGACCTCCCAACAACGGTGACGTGGGCTCAGATGCCATCAGTGATGCTGGACTGAGGGATGCCAGATAGACTGGAGAGAAAAGTGACCTTGGGCAGGAGGACCAGGCTGGAACCTTCCCTGTGGAGCGTCAGAGGACCAACTCCTCCATCTAAGGAAGTGACGGGTAGTTTGAAAACTCAGGAAAGTGTCACAAAGTTCCTGTTCTGGTGGAACAGTCCAAATTCTAGTGCCAAGATGTGGTGCTTACATGCCACAAAGACCTACACCAATGAGACTGAGTACTGGGGAGGCCCCTTCCTTTAGGAGCCATACTCCCCGAGATGGAAGGGGAGGGCATTGTCTAGAAGAGGAGTGGAGGGAGGCGCAGTGGCCTGCATGCAGGACTGGCCCAGGACCATTAGAGGCCTGAGTGGTGTATAGCTCCTTGGTGGCTCCAGGGGACCCAGCCTCCATTCTGCCGCCTCTGCAGGCCCCTCCCCATGGAGGACACTCATGTGGCTCCATACTACAAGCACAGCGGACAGACACTGATGGAACACTGCCTGTCAGCAGGCATCCTCAAGGTCAGGCTACCCCAGAAGGGACACAGAGGGAGGCTCTGTAGCCACCAAGGCTGGCCCTGCTATTCTCTGCAGCTGGGGTGACAAATGTGAGCAGAAAGGCCATCTGGAAGTCCCCGCAGGCACACAGGGCCCTAGCACCAACCCAGTCAACACGGCCCAGAAACACCAGAACACTGCTGCCTACACTGGGAGGCTACGGAGAGTCCCTGCAGCAGAAAACCCAGGTATAGATATGGGAGGACACAAGAGAGGCTGGAGGCTAGGAGGTTAGGAGGCCAGGAGGCCAGCACTGGGCCTGACCACTCACCCCAACATGGTTCCCAAGAGTGGCTTCAAGAAAGAAGCAGCACTGAGCAGCGAGGGAGGGGGCAGGAGAGACACAAGCGGGCTCCTGCTTTCCTACTATGGTCACAGGCAAAATGTCCCTACGGAAGGCACGCACTTCATTCCTCATCATGCTTTACTCCAACAGCACACAAAGATGGCCTGGTGCCTAGCAACTGCACGGCACCGTGTCCTCACTCCTTAGCAACAAACATTTCCACTCTTGCCATTTTGGAATTAGACCGGCACTCAAACAGAAACCGTGGCACAATTGGGGTGAACTCCAGGGACTGCTGTCTCCTCAACTAACTCAGAGTCGGCCAGTAGTTTACCACGCCAACATGGCAGGGCCACTCTGGGTCAGACCAACAAAGACAGCAGCTGAGACCATTTCCAAATTTAATACATTAAACATTTACTTACATAAGAAAAACAATCCCAGAACTTTGGAAGAAACTGAGGGAACTTATGAAGAATCAATATAATGATCCATTCTATAAAATATTTTATAGATGCTTGATTGTTGATAAAACCAGCTTGGAAAATCTTGTCAATAATCTCATTCAAGAAATTCTGAGGAAAAAATAAAGTTCATAAATTCAATGGCTGTGTTATTAACTTTTTAGCAAAGTCCCCACTTTACAGAAGGCTTAGTTATTCATAAGTGACTCACGGACTCTCTACCTCTCCAAAAACCCTACACAGTGTCGCTGCAGTGCCTGTGCCCTGCAGGCTACATTAGTTCTATGGGGCAGGCTCCTCTGTCTGTAGGTTCCAGGGCAGGGGAAAGAAGCGATTACAGGGCAGGCCTGGTAGGCCAGGGAAGGCCAGGGAAGCTCAGGGGTGGCCCTCTTACCACTGCTGCTTCGGGCCAAGTCCCTGAGCTCCAGACCCTCCCACACTCTCCAGCCTCTCTCTCTCCAAGACTGCTCTTCTTTCTGAGTCACGGTACACTAAGGGGCCGGTGGGGAAACAATTCTCTGTCTATATAAGCATGTTGTACATCTTCTTACAGAAGAACATCTTATTTTAATATGACTTCTACTTGGAAGAGGAGTAGGAGAGTCATGTTAAGCCCTGAGTCTGCCACAGCATCGGGCATGGACCCTGGAATGGGACTCTCCTGGATCTGGCTCCTCCTGCTCACTGGCTACGTCTCTAGGGCAGGCCGCCTGACCTCTAAGCATCCTCACCTATAAGACAGACATCCTTATGGCCTGCCCTGAAAGTCTGTTGCGACAGGTAATGAAACCACAGATAGGACCTTGAACTCCCAGCAATGGCTGCTCAGGACACACTGGCCCTCTCTTCCTCGGGCCCCACCTACTGAATTCCCCCAATGCCATCTTTTGCGGGGGCCCTCGTCATTCCAAGAAGAAACACCCAGTTAGCTGTAAAGCTGTAACGCTCCTTTAGATGCACTTCTGTGCTGCAGGAAGTGGGGCACATAGTACTTTGAAAGACAAGTGCTACTAAAAGGCCTACGATGAGGTCAGCAGCTCCCGCCCACTTCCACCTGTGCCACCCCAGAGGTCATTGCTAGCTAGGTCCTCAAAAGTTCATCCAATAAACTCAACATACTGTCACTGAAACATTCTCATAGACAGAAGGCAAGGGTTCATAAAATTGTAATAAAAAGGCTCAGTGATCATGCCTATAATCTCAGGGACTGGGAGGCTGAGGCAGGAGGACTGCAGATTCAAGGCCAGCCTCAGGACCTCTGTGAGGCCCTGTCTTAAAATAAAAAATAGAAAGGGCTTAAGTTATGCTCCACATATGTATAATATGTCAAAGTACGCTCTACGTCATGTATATCTAAAAACAATGTAAAAAGTGATTAGGTAAAAAATAAGTAAAAAAGGCTGGGGATGTGGCTCAGTGGCAAAGGGCCCAGGAGTTCAATACTCAGTGCTCAAAAAAAAAAAAAAAAATTCTAATAAAAAGAGACTGAGATAGATCCACATACATACTTTTTTCCCCCCAAACAATAAAGAGAAGATGGGGAAGATCAGGAAACCAACCTTAAAGTCTAAGGGAATCGTTTTGTATTCAAAATGTATTGTTTTGTTTTGTTTAAATGGCCACAGGTCACCTCCACTTTCTCATACTGACAAGCATCCTCTTAACAAGAACATTAAGCAAAGAAAGAAAAACGGATTACAGGCCACTCGAGAGCTGGCTGCTTCTCAGAGAAGTGGGCAGCAACCTGGGGACACAGACTGTGGTGGAGACCCTGGCCTCCACTTAGCTGGTTTAATGTGTCCCCACTATCCCTGAGATTGAGGGGAAAAGACCCCACAGGAAACAATAACCCCACCACTGCTGCCATAAGCCTGGCTTCAAATGCCCCAGCAATGCTGAGCTGTGAAAGGAACCAATGGCAGAGGAGATGTTAGCAGTTAAAAATGCTACTTTGAAAGGTGAAGGGAAAACCTGCAATGAGGTCATGCAAACCACTGATGGCTGGTCCCTAAAAACCCGCTCACGGGCGCCTCTGCTGGAGCCTCTCAGGAACTGCCAGTCCATGCAGGAAGTGGACGTCTAAGCAGATGGGCCTGCTCAGGTTTCCCAGGTCGCTCTGAGAGATGCTCATGTGAGCGACAGTGTGAAGCCAGCAGTACCTGGTCAAACCTGGGGAAGAGCGTGAGTAGCACCTGCCATATCCGGTTCTTCACCCGGTGCTGGAGAGAGTTCTGGTAGTAGCGGTCTCTGGACTGGGACACCTGCTCGTCCTGGGGGCAGGGAAGGCAGTGTTAGGCCAAGGAGGAGTTCGTCACTACCGAGAACAGACCAGAAAACTTCAAACCGAAGAGGTTCTGGGGACACAGGTCATTGTCCCTCCAAAAGCAGTTAGGAACTTAAGAAAGACACAGAATGAGAGCAGACTCCTAAAGCATCTACGTGGCCTCAGCTCACTCCACTTCCCCTCCGCCATTCTCCCTGCATCCCCATTCCTGTCACTTTGCTGCATGCCCTTTGTCGTGCTAGCCACCAACAGCGGACCCCAAAGGCCCTTCCTGCACCCTGTCCTCACGCCCTCCCACCTGGCGGGTGTTCATCCAGAGCTCAGCCCGATGTCCCTTGCAGGAGCCTTCCTGGAGCCCATCTGCACAACTGACCATGGGTCACAGTATACTTCTTGTTCTACCTGAGAGCACACCTGCTGCCTCCCAGCATGCATCTGTCCAGGCCACTTGCTCCACAGAACACTGTGTGCATACAGCACTGTAAACACAGTGGCCATCAGCAGGCTCAAGGAACCAACCCGAAGTGAGACAGTGATAGCCAACACTCAGCTAAGAACACAAAATGCCAACCTCATGCTTTCTCCTGGTACAAAATATCCAGAAACACTGAGTAATGCTGGACTTTTCACTTGTTAAAAACAAAGAGAAATAAAGCATATTTACTTTGTCCAACAGCTTGATTGCAAGATCCTCCATGAATGACTTGTGGGCCGTGTTGGAGCAGTCTAACAGACACAGGAATTTGATGGCACAGACCCTCACATAACAGTCTTCCCTTTTAGTACTAAAAACATAGAAGGGTGAACTATGTTACTATGTTTTGATAACAGAAAACTACATTAACTGTTAGTTTCAAAATGCCATGACAAATATCAAATCTAAGTCGTCTAAAATCAAGTGGCACATGCTTAATGACAACGCTTCTAATTCAGGAACAGCAGAAGGTAACAAGGAACACGCCAGGGGGAGTGTGCACATCAGGTATGACCTAGCACCGTCCGTCCAGCTGGCCAGTCACATCTCCTCTGTAGACAGACGGACTTGCTGGGGACATGCAAGAGATCCAGGAAGCTCCACTCTAGAGCAACACAGTCCTGGGTCACCATGGGCACAAAGGCATGTGCATCTCCTACAGGGTGGAGAAATGTCCTACATGACCCATGCATTCAGTCTCCAAACACAGAAAGATAAACTAAGTGAAGTTGTTAGCAGTATTTCCACATTGCATTTTAAGATATAACATGAGTAGACGCCATTTTAACAGCAAAGCAGCTGTGGAACAGAAATCCATGGGACTGGCAAGAACCCGCCCAAAGCCCCACCTATCACTGCGCTGAACAAAAGTGAAAAGAACCAGACACTTGAGCAAGAGTGGCGAACGACGCAGCATCGCAGCGCTCAGAGCAACGTCTGCTCCGGACAACTACACAGCCACCACTGGGTGTCTGAAGCTCAAGATCCAAGCAAAAGATCTCCTTTGTAAACACGTAATTATTAGAAAGCAGTGGGAACACATGAAACTTGGAAAAAATGTTTTATGGTCTCCAAAAAGTCAGTTAAAAGATTAGACAAGAATCTCATCAGAGATCAAAACCCTGCAGCCCAGACTCACACACACCCAGCGTAGCTGGGCACACTTGTCTCTAACCCATCAATCATACCTCTGCTTGTTATTAGCAGGCGTGGTCCCAGCACCCAGGCTGCTCTGTGGGTGCTTCTGTTTTTGCATACAACATTTTGACTTGTCAAAATGGTGAACTTGAATAATTGATACATTCACAAAAAGAAAGATGTGAAGAATAAAGGATTTAGACTGACGGCTATCCAGGCACCCAGAGGAGGGGGCCGGGCTTTTAAATTCCCCAACACCACTTGCTCACTGATACTAGACTTTGTGCTCCATTTTAAAAAGCTTATTAAATTTTAGAAAATGTTAAAGCTGTGAAGTAAATGCATTAGCAAGAAAGATGATTTTTCCTTCTCTCTTTTTTCTTTGTGGATCTGGGGCTAGAACCGAGGACCTCACCCATGCCAAGCAAGTGCTCTACCCAGATGAAGTTTCTGATGTGCCATTGAGGCCTTGCTCCACAGCTTGTCACAGAGCAGATATCATTTATCAACTCGACAAACATAGCACATTTGCTGTCTGGTACTAAATCTGGTGACCCCACGTACGCTAACACAGGGACCTGCCATACTTACCTCTCCATGACAACATTGGCTGCACAGTCATGTCCCAGACTCTCTATGAAGGTCTGTACATCCTGAATGAGTCTTTCCATAAGAAAAGGGAGAAAGATCGAGTTTAAATTAAAAAATAAATTTAAAAAACCCCAAAGTCCAAAAATGAAAGCAGCTAATGCTCTACAGTCTTCTAAAGCCTCAGAGCAAAGAATTGTACCCACACAGGTAACGGGATGTCAGGATCAGCTGCAATGATAGCTCTTTACCTCTGATCACGCCTGAACACAGTTCCAAATGTACATGCCTCCAGGATGAGTTCACTGTAGTGCCTGGCACTGGACAGAGACCCCTGGGGCCCGCTGGCAGGAGACACCAGCCATGACTGGCAGCAGTGACTCATCAGTGTATTGAAGACCCCGGTTTTTACAGTAGACATTTCAATGATTTTGTACATAATCTGAAACAAAATACAATGGTGACTTTATCCTTGGACTGAGTTTAAATAAGTGTTGCTAAAAACTGTTACTTAAATGGGTTCTAATGACAGTGTCAACAGAATCATGACTAGTATAAAAAATTTAAAATTCATTACTTTTAGAATAACTTTGCAAAATGGTCAATAATCCCAGAATGCTAATTTTTCATTTCTCAATAATAAAGATACATAAAATTTGCTGATGAGGATACTCGTTCAGAACTCAGGGAAACAAGTGCCCCAGGGAGCAGGATGGGGGAGACAACTCTCTGCACTGTTGGATTCCCTTCAAATTTGGCCACTGGCTTGGCTCCACCTGAGGCAGCCAGGACCCCCATGCAGGACGGGGCCTTGAGCAGGGGACACCAGGACCCCAGCAGGATACACTGCAGGCCCTGCCTCGCAGCGCTGGTGCAACCTCTGCTGTCCCTGTGCTCACCCCTCTGCACACCGGGCATCAGCACAGGTTACCGATGATGCCCAATACGATGTAAATGCCACACAAACAGGTTACACTCTCCTGTTTGGGGAACAATGGCAAGAAAAACATCCACATGTTTAGTACACATGCAGATTTTCTCAGATCTTTTAAACTTACTGTTGGCTGAACCTGCGGATGTGGAGTCTGTGGGCAGTGGGCTGGCAAGACTTCTCCAAGCCAGAGTCTTTTTAAATTTTTGGTTCTGGGAATTAAACCCAGGCCCTCATACATGCTAGACAAGCACTCCTCCCTGAACCCAGAGAGACCTTCTGCTAGATCAGATCCAGCGGAGTATTTCTCCAAGGAAATCCCAGCAGGACAACACAGACAGGTAGTGCCTGCCGTCCATTCCCCAGGGAGACGTGGGAGCACAGGGTAGCCCTGCTCAACGCCAGGCACTAGCTGTCCTGCAGGAGTGTGCCACCAGGTCACAGTGTCCCTTGAGAAGGGACACCTAGGTTTTCAGACAGATTCCCCAATTCCCAAGAGACCAGCTAATTCAGGATTCCAAAACTGTGTGAACCAAACACGCTGGCAAGGCAGTGAGAGTCAGGTTTCCTCATCCTGCAACATTTCGGGCCCAAGAACACATTCTGGACTCATGGTCACGCCTCAGTCAACCAGCAGTCACACACACACAACTCCTCCCCCGTGCCCCATTGTCACATGCATTGAAATGAGAAAGTCACCTCTTTTATCCTGAAATATGCCTGGCCCTTGGTTTTTGCAGCAGTGGAGAGAATGGTATTATCAAAAACAAACTGAACGAAAGCTCTCAAGTTGGGCCAGAACGTCAGCTGGGTGTTGCTCAAGGAGGTCAGGACTCTCCAGGCCACGTCGAAGGACTCCACACAGAGCGACTCGGAGGAGGTCAGCAGCTGGGGAAGGGAGATGAGGGCGACAGAGCACTTAGCCTGGGACCCACGCTGGCCCCCTGCTACTCTGGGTCATGCCACTCGCTCACCTGGGGGACCAGAGTCTTCATGCAGCAGAACACGGGTGAGACCCGGTCAGAGGGCAAAAGAGAGAGGGCATCCAGCGCAGCGCACAGGATCTGTGTTGGTGTTCGCACAGAGGGCAGTGAGGGCTCCAGCTTGTCTCCTTCTGCAGCTGGCTCGAGGGGGTGGCACCGTCTCAACAGGAAGGAGAGGCAGACCCACTGATCGTGGACATACTGGGCTACAATCTTCCCCCATCCTTGGCAAGGCGATGACTCCTCAAAAAAACTGAAAGACCCGCGTCACTTCGGCAACCCAGTCTCCCGTTTCTTTCACATGCAGTACGCTGTCCTTATGAAGGGGACACAGACCTTGTGGTCTGAGTGTGGTCTGTCCCCAGCAAAACCTACGGGGTAGCTCTTTGGTCAGCAGGGAGGTGGGGGGAGAGGCATGGGCGTCCCCTCAGAGCTCATGAGTGGACCAGTGCTGCTTCCAGCCTGGGAGCAAGTTCTTGCTCTCGAGGAACTAGACTGGTGACCGCACATAGGTCCCCACAACAAGGCTGCCCTTGTGTTCTCTGATCCAAATTTCTGTGCTCTTCTGGTCTCTCTGCCATTGGTATGGCAGCATGGGGCCCAGCATGCACCCACACCATGTTCTTAGGCTTTCCAGTTTCCAGAGCCACAAGCCAAAATAAACTCCATAAACTTCCCAGTCTCAGGTTTTGTTATAGCAACAGAAAACTAAGACAAACACAGCCATCGTCAAACATCGTGTCTTCTTACTCACAGGCAACCTCATAAGCCTATTTTCCAACTACCTGAAAGTAGACACTTTCACAACTTTACACAGTCCCTGGGAACTAAATGCAGAAATTAACACGTTATAGACATGTTCACCCCAGAGGAAGCCCTCCACCCGTCCCACATCACCCTGGCATGTGGGCACTCTCCCATCACCTCGATGACAGCAGAGGTGAGTTTGAGGTGCCTGGACCCACCTGCTGCTCTCTGGGTCCTCTGCACAGGGCTTCTGCAGAGTCTGGTTAAGTGGAAGAGTGCAAAGCAACCTTTCCAGGGGCCCCATGTCCAGGGACTCCTGCTGCAGGTCCACTATCTCGCACACCCTGGCCAAGGTGGCCATGCTAGCCACTCTCTGGATCTGACGAGCAAGTGTGGGCTCCTGCAATGACAGAGAAGCAAGCCCCCAGTGAGGACCTACGCTGCCAGGCTGCCCAAACCCCTGCCCCCCAGCAGCTGGACGTGGGGAAACAAAAGGAAACCAACACCCACCACCCAGCGACCACTGCTCCTGACAGGCATGAGAAGGCAGTGTTCCAGAGGAGGAAGACGGTGACCTCAAGAGGCAGCAGCACACACCAGGGCAAGGTTGGTGCCCCGTGACCCCTTCCTGCCCACTTGTGTCTGCACACACTCCCAGGGTGCAGTCTTCTTTTACTAAACTTTGATGCATTTTTTTTTTTAAAGGGGTCCAAATCACAAATCCTTCCCTTGGTCAGCCACGGGCACAGCAGACAAGAGCCAGGCCCAGGACCCACAGTGCCAGGGCCTGTACTATCAGCAGCTCTATAAAGACAGGCCACGCCGAGTTTCCCCACCTGTGAATTGGGGACAATGATGGGATCTACTCTACAGGGCTTTGTAAAGTGTCTCGCGACTGGGTTATTTCATGCAGAACACCCGGGTCTCCACACGCATGAGTACGAGGTAGGGACTAAGATGGCCTGGCTGCTTCACACAGAGAAAGACAAGATAGTGACCAAGCAGAGGGTTCAGGAGCCTGGAACCTCTAACAGCCTGCAGGAAGTAGAAGGCTGAGGTCAGAGGATCCTGGAGGCTCCAGGGTTGGATGCTGAAGCACTATGTGGAGTGGCATCTGCAGACCCTGGCTGGGCTGCTACAGGGGACAGGCCGGTGTGCTCTGGCCTCCCTCGGCCCTGGATTGCAGCACCTGAGATCCATGCTAGCAATGGTGGGCTCTGTGTGGTTGCAGCCCATGCTGGCTGCTTGCCAGAGCCAGCACTCCACTGCTCTGGGACAAGGGCTTGGCTTCCATAGTACTGTCACCTGCAGGCATTATTTTAACAATTAAGACTCAGCAAATATTTTCTGTGACTTCAAAATACTGCATAACAAGAGAACATGCATACCCAGTGTGACTTGTCAATAAAACTTGAATCCAAGAGATTACCTGTCCACTGTCGGTCTCCTGAAGGTGCCGAATGCATGCGTTCTTCAAAGGAGAAATAACTCTGCAGATAGAGGCACCCACTTTCCACCCCAACTTCAGCTGGAGATGTATGAGCTCAGTTAGGACCATCAGGTACAAGTGGCAACGGTCGAGATCTGAAACCTAGGACAAGCGTTAAAACACACGCAGGCACAGGCTGGCTTGCAGCCATGTGGACACACAAGCAGTACAAGCCGGTCTCCTTGCAGCCTCCCAGGCCTTGCGCACACTAACTGCACGCAGCTCTCAGCCCACTTCACCAGCAAGGGCATCATCTGTCCGCACACCCACACGAGACGATGTCCTGCCAAGCTATGCGCACGGGACTGCTATGCTGTGTTCAAGGTAAGAACACGAGACTCACACACCAGCTCTGCGCCCCAGGGCCAGCTACCTCATCTCCTCAAGTCCAGCATCCTTGGCTACAGGTGGACAGCAATACCTGTCCATCACAGAGTTTTAAAACAATGAAGTGAGAGAAAGTGGTGGCCTTAGTCATTATTATAACCCAACAGACTCCACAGGAAGTCTCCACAGCACAGAGTCACCCGTCAATCTAATCTGTTTCCACTGAGCAACTGCCTGGCGCTTTGCTGGGTGCCAGGAAGCAATTCCATGGAGGAAACAGTTGTTGCACATGCTGCAGAATAAAGGATGAGGAGTGGGATGTGTGCTGGCGCGACAGTGGCAGGGGGCAGTGCTTCCTCTGGGAAGGGGCCTGGAGAAGCTCCCAAGAGGAATGATAGGGGCTTTGGCTCTCACCAGGCACACCAGAGAACCTCAACTTGAGCTGCTCGATGTGGGGGGCAGAGGGCAGTGCAGGGTGGAGACAGGGCCTCCTGTGCAGCTGCAGCTGGGGACGAGAAGAGAGGTAGTGCCCAGCTCTGGAGAGCACCAGCTCCAAAGTCCACACAGCAGAGGATGGACATTCCACCAAGAAAGGGAACCAGGGGCTCAGGGGAGTCGAGAGAAGGATTCACCATCACTAAGGATGGGCAGCGGTCTAGAGGTGGCCAGCAGCAGCCCACATGCCAAAGATCAGGTCAACAGACAGGGACCTATTGGCTAGTGTTAGGACAGGGCAGTCACAGACAATCTCATCATGTCTGTCGCACGGAGATAAAAGCCGGATCAGAACAGGGTGGAGTCCACACACAGCTCATGGGGGTGGAAGGCATGGGACTCAGAAGGCCGGGGCAAGGTGGGGGGCTGAAAATCCAGAAAAGACCAGTAGCACAACACCCTCCCAACAGCTCAGGAGTGGCTGGGGGCTGCCCGATGCTGTGGGCAAGGGAGGTCAGGAGCAGCCCGGGGCTGGGCACAGGCGGGCATATCCAGCGGGCAGTTGCACAGCTGCCCCATCTGCCAGCCCTGTCCTCCTCCACGCACAGCTACGTGTACCATCGCAGATGGCCACCCTTCCATAGTATCCCTGTTAGGAGGCCACCTTGTGATCTCATTCGGTCATGAGACGCCAAAGAACTGTTGTGACAGCAGGCAGTGCAGGGCCGAGCCATGGGGATGGGGACGGGAGACAGCAGGGCATCCACTGAGCTCTGAGCTCCTACTTCACTGGGAGGTAACGCCTGGTTTATTAAAGAGTAAATTCTCAAAAGACTTAAGTACTATCATAAAGAGAGTTGACTTTTTAAAAATCTTTGTGAATAAACGAAAATAACATTAAGCCTTCCCTTTCTCAAATTGTTTTTAGCTTGTAATCCAAATATAAGCATTTAGGTTATGTAAAGAGTGCATGACAGGTCTTCTGTGTAGGTTTGAAAATTTCCAGTAACAAAAAGGTAAAAATATGGGGCTGGGGTTGTGGCTCAGAGGTAGAGTGCTCACCTCGCATGCATGAGGCATTGGGTTTGATCCTCAGCACCACATAAATATAAAACAAAGATATTGTGTCCACCTAAAACTAAAAAATAAATATTTAAAATAAAAATAAAAGGCTTTTATCCCCCCATAAAAAATAAAAACCCTAAAACGGTAATAATAACACTGAGGATAGTAAAATCATATTGGTGCAAAACTTATAGTACTATTGCTGCCTCATTAAATGCCCTTTGGAAATGCAGACACGGGGTGCATGACTTACAACTGTGGGTAAACACCACCCCCAGCTCTGTACCACAAACCCTCGGGCCTACCTACCAAACCTGTCTGTCTACTTTTTCCACACTTGTTCACACTGGAAAGTGCTTAAGTGGACTCTGAAATAAAAGTCCTTTAAGTAAGTACATTTTCTCACTTTCTCGACAACCTAAGCTTTAATTTACTTCAACATTTGTCCCAACAGGTGTCAAACAACAACAAAAATGAATGGACATTTCTATAAAATCTGTTATTTTTCAGACTATTCCTGAAAGGGAAAAACTCTACTATTTTTAGATGTCCTGGAAAGAACTCACTCTGTGGAGTACAGAGAGAGCAAAGACACAGCGATCATAGAGCAACCTGAGTTCAAACCCACCATTCCTAAGGCTCCCTTTAGCTCAGAACAACCAACAGAGCTAAAAAAAAATAACCAACGCCCTGGTCCCAACACTACGGCCGCCCATCCATAGTAGCCCTGTTAGGAGGCCAAACCAGATGTGCATTGGATGTGCACATCTCAACCATGATGTACCATCTAAAACGACTTTCCTGAAGCCCTGGAAAGTAGACAGGGGTACTGTCTCCATTTGTCAGGTGAGGAAACTGAGACTCAGAGGAGCTACATAGCTGGCCAGGTCATAGACCATGACACCAATGGAAGGACGACAAGGAAGCTCCAAAAACTGTTTTTGCTGCTTCTTGAGAAACTATCATGTGAAGGCAATTTTTCTCCTCGGGTTAATACAATGACTGCCTGTGGGAACATGAAAGGAAGTACAGGTGGGTTACTCACAGTGCGAAGCTCATCCATGGTGAGTCTCCTGAGAATGAACTCGGACACGCTCTCTGAGGCGGACATGAGGAGGCTCTGCAGAAGCACGGACACCTCGTCTGTAGGGAAAAGCATCTGGCTACAATGACAGAAGTAAGAGCCCTGCAACTGAACACCGGTATGACCCAGGGTAACCTCAATTGACAGTGCTTTCCTGTGGTCACTCCTGCCCCAGCGACCGTCACTAAGGAAGGACAGCCCTTAGCAGGATGGCCAGGGACACGCCCCTGAACACTGAACGCAGCTGTGAGCCTAGGGAAAATGCTCACGCATCCTCAGGGCAGTACACAATCCAGAAAGAAGTGACCCTAATGGTCAGGGAGCCCACTGACACCTCCTTCTGCTCATCTATGATTGCAACAGACCCAGGAGCAGCAGGAAAGCAGTGCAGCAAGGGCTGCAGTGAGCTCATCAGAGGATGAACACAGAGACCCAGGAAGCAGAGAGCCAGTGCTTGGGAGGCTCCAAAGCGGAGTAGCCTAGGAAGTGGCCACTAAGCTCTGTGTTCCTGCTCACCCGTGGCAGGTGCTGCACCGCACACCACAGATTCCAACACCGACCAACAGAGACCTCACCAACCAGCCCCAGCAGGGCCACAGGATGGGACAGGTGAGGGGCAGCTCCAGAGAGCACTCTGAGGGGTAGAATTAACACCCACAAGAGCTGGGTAACAACACGAGGTCAGGACCTTGCTAGGTCAAATGGCTGCTGAGCAAAAGCAGCATTTGTAGTAGGACTCAAATGAGACCCATGGTCCAAGACCACGACAGTCAAAACAGCAAGGGTAAAGTGCAGAACTTTCCCAGGAGACCAGAGAGTCTCAGCTCACAGGAAGGACCATCTACAGACCATACGAAACTGTTAAAGTAGCTCTTATAAAAATGCTTCCTCAAGCAATCAGAACACTCTTAAAACAAGTGAAACAGAAAGTCTCAGCAGATAAATCAAAGAGATACAGAAATCTTAAGACTGGGAAGTGTAATAACTGAAACAAAAGAAGAGACAGGAGTCCATGAACTTAAAAATAAGTCACTAAAAATATACAATCTGAGAAACACAGAGAAAAATATCTTAAAAAAATAAATAAATAAATAAGACTCTCAGATGCCTATGGGGTATAACAAAGATCTATCACTCATGCCATCAGGGACCAGAAGGATAAGAGGAATAGTGTGGTGCTGAAAAAGTATTTTGACTTAAAAAAAAAAACCTTCCCAAATGTGATAAAGGATATAAATATACAGACTGAAAGAGGTCAGGAGATTTCAAAAGGATAACCACCCCTCCTTAAAGGACTCCTACCAAGACACCTAACCACATGCTGAAAACTGGGGATGAAGCAGTAATGCTGGAAGCAGAGAGAAATAACACAGGAGGGAAGATTCTGAACCACCCTAGAGGCCAGAGGCCAGCAGCTCGACAATTCAACCTGCTGAAAGGTAAGATCTGTTAAACCTGCAATTTATACCCAGCAAAAGTATCCTTTAGATAGGAGGTGAACAGAGAGATCCTCAGATGAAAGAAAACTAGTATTATTCATTGCCAACAAACGTGTTCCAAAAGAAATGCTACAGGAAGCTTTTAAAATAAAAGGGCTTCAATGCCATAGGGACACCTGAACATCAAGAATGGAAGGAGAGCAAAGGAAACCTGCAGGCACCAGTGAAGAGCAGCTTCTTCTCTCGAGTTCTTTAAAATGGCTGATGGCCAAAAGCAAAGATAACATCATCTGAAACAGCTCTGCACAAACGTAAATAGGAGGCCACTGTAAAGGGGATGGGGGTGGGAAGGAGCCTATATAAGGTGGGAAGTTCCTATATTCACTTCAAGTGATTAAATATTAATTTGAAGTACACTACAGAAAGTATATACATTGTAATTCTACAGCGAGCACTAAAATAGCTGAACATTTAATGCCAACACAATAGTAAGACAAACGGAAATGGAACACAAAATATCCTAATGTTCAAATTGACCAAAAGAAGCTATAAGAAAGGAAAGAGAAAAAATTTTAAAAACATAAGGGAAATAAACAGAATACAAAAAATAAAGTGACAGACCTAAATCCTGACACAAAAATTATTAGATCAAAAGCAAATGGGCAGCTCTGCTCAGTGGCATGAGCCCAGAGTCCCCACTCCTTAGGAGGCTGAGGTGAGAGTACCACGTGGGCCCAGGAGCCAGGGGCCAATCTGGGCAATGCAGGAGAACCCACTCCAAAAAAAAAAAAAAAAAGAGAAAAAGAAAAAGAAAAATATAAAAAAGTGCAAATGATCTACATCAATTAAAAGACAGAGACTATCAGGGTAGATATAAAAAATCAGGCCCTTACCACATGCCGTCTGTAAGAAATCCGCTTCAAATACAAAGATCTAAATAGAAAAGAAGCGGTAAGAGAATCTACCTCATGAATTCTAATCCAAATACGCTGGTTCTATAAAGCCTCAGACGGAGGCTTTATAAAAAGGAAAAGGAAACCACAGAGTCAAACTCAGGAGTGTCCAGGGGCAAGTCTGTAAGGACACTGCCATGAGGCCTGCTGGGAGAGTCTTGTCTTCACACTGGTGCTGGGAAGACTGAGCGTTCACCTTTCCACCTGCTGGAAAAGGAAACTCATGAGAACACCCCCTCTTCACCCTGAAGAAACCAACCAAGATGCCCACAGGCTCGGACGGGAGACCCTGACAAGCAAAGATATCATCATCTGTAACAGCTCTGGCGCAGCAACAACAAAGGGAAAAGGCTCCTTTCTTGGGCCTCAGTGAGGAGTCCCCATGACACCAGCAGCACCGATGAGCTCAGTGCAAAGTGACGAGGGAGAAGATACGAGAGCGAGAAGCCTGCAGAGCAGAGACAAGCCATGAAACAAGATGCCCCAGGCTGGGCTCTGGCTTCCAGCCATGGTTCTGAGCCTGAAATGGCTCCCGAGTCCCCTGCTGTGTCCCACGCCTGCCACGTCCAGGGCCAGTGCTGCAAGATGCTCCTGTCACAGATGATGGCAGGTCAGAGGAAACCTGGGGATGCCAGGTATTTCCGTGGCCTAAGTGGGGTGGCTCCCTGGGTGCGACACACTCAAAGCCCATGGAATAGTACAGTTTTTAACATCTCAATCACACCTCGATGAAGTGGTTTTAAAAGAGCATCAGTGTCATTAAAGAGCACCAGCATATATGGGAAAAACCTTTTCTAAACTGTATGCAGGTGAAAAGGAAAAGCCAAAGCAGGGTCGTGGAGGAGGCCTGAGGAGCAACAGGCCAGCTCACCCAGGGCGGGCCCAGGGCCCAGGTGGTGCGGTCACCATGCGTCCAGCACACATGACCCCACACGCTCACTTGTATCAAGCATTGCCAGGACTTTTCAAAGCGCAAGACCTCACCCAGTGCTGAGAACCCAAGGACAAACAGTCACTGTCAGGACACGTTGAAAGGATCAAATCGATTCCTTGAAGGAGCCAAAAATCTGACAAGTGACTGTCGAGTTCACAGCAGCTGGTTTTGCTCCCATTAGAGAGGATATCAAAATTTTGATTCTAGACTCAATATTTCATAAACATGCGTTCAAATCTAATCATATCAATATCACTAATGAATTTTTAAACAGTAAATTTCTAAAATTACAAATGCAATTGGTCAGAAAAGGTTGGAAGCTGAGGTTCACACATCAAAACTCTCATCTCTGAAGGCCACGATGTCTCCGCTGTTGCCCGTACATCTTAGCCAGAGTGGAACAGTGTGCTCGATGCCTTCACCTACACCACGTGTTTTCTACACCATTAGAACGCCTTAGCCTCCTGCTTCCCACAGCATCTAGCTTGGTGGCAACTGGAAACAGACCCTGATAACCAGATGTGACAGAGTGACCATTTTCAGTGGTCTGGAAATTAAGGAGCAAAAGCATAAGTTTTTTTAAAAAGCAAATGAAACACTGTAACATGCAGCGTGACCAGTACCTGTCACTCACTGGAGCCCAGCTCCCTGATGCCCACACCCCCAGGAGATGCTCTCCTTCTCCTGAATGCATCGACCCGCCGAGCAGGATACTGTCCTCACCTTCCTGGGTGCTGGAGCCCCTCGACGTGCACGTGTGCAACAACATCAGCAGCAGCTGCAGACACCGGTCAGTCTTGGGCACTGGCACATAGGCATTTGTACCGAACTTCATCAGGGCTCCCAGCAGGGGATCCAAGAACAGCCTCAACATGTTCTGTGTCCTCTGCTTTTCACTACACGTGAAAAAACATGCCCAAGTCAATCACTTCCAAAGCACAGGGGTTATTTCCCATCTGTACTCTGTGGGGTTGGTTAGCTGAGTCACATACAAGATCACCCTGCAGATGACCAAGTACCCAGTACCCACAGTGAATCTCTCAGTCTCTACTTTCTCAATTATAGTGATTCTCTAGAGCAGAAAGCACAGGGCAGGACCATGGCTGCCACCCCCAGGCCCTGGGGAACCTGTACCAGCTTAGGCATAAGTCACCCTGAGGGCCTGCTTCCATGACACAGAGAAACAAGACATAAACTAGTCAAAAAGAAAAGATGTGTTTAAAAAGTACAAAAAAATTGACATGGCTTTATCCTTATTATCATTTTTTAAAATTATGTATTTTACAAAGGAGTCAGATCTAGTAATGCCTCCCCCCAATCTTACGCTGGCCTCCCACAGCCCAATCCTTTAATGCTGGTAGGAAACCAGGGGTTTTACCTTCTCTAATTAAACATTAAAATGTTAAATTTAATTTAGTGTTTAACTTAGCAACCTAAAAGCACCAGTAAGTCCCCTTCCCTATGTACTGGCTATTAATTTTAAACACTTCTTCGGAGTGTTACCAATGTCGTGGCCCAGTCCCAGGACCAGCTCTACACGAAGCACTGAAGAGCCTGAACACGCGTCAGATGTCTGATGGGTTCTTGTCACCAGGTCCATTACCTGTATTGGGCCTTCTTTCCTTCCACATCCACCGCCAGCAACACCATCGTGGCCGTCAGCCGGGCCTCTAGCCCATCAGGCATGAGGCCGCCTTCTCCTGCTGAGGGACAGAAGTCGAGGTTTGTAAGACATTAACAAAACCTTTCAGAGACGCCGGCTTCAGAGGCGAAACAGCTAAGTGACAGTTCCTTCTCATGTTTATATTAGAGCAATAGCCATGGCCCGCAAGGGTCAGTATCACATGCTCAGGGTGAAAACAAAACCAAATGCACGTGTGCTGCATGCCTCACACTGATCTGCGCACTGACCACACCATGGTCCCCATGCCTGGGAACCTACAGGCAGCACGGGAGAAAAGCAGCAATCACACGCTAGGAAGGACACAGAACCAGAACCCCGAGAAGAGGAGCAGGTGCCGCAGCAGGGCACTGCCATGGAGGGTAGCAGGAGCAGGCTCCCTGAAGAGCGGGCTCCACTGACTGGACAGCTGAGAAGGACCAGCTAGGTGGGAAACAAGACCTCCAAACAAGGAGAGCGGCCAGGGCTCTGCAAGGGGAGGGCCTGCCCATTCCAGGACACAGCACACCCAGCAAGCCACCATAGTCCTGGTGGGACCAAGACTCCCAGCAGAGGAGTCTGCCCTCCAGGAAGCCTCTGAAGGCAACCCACACAAGAATGAGGGGAAATGCTTAAGGTAGAAATTAGCATTTGAAAAGATTTCCCCAGAGAAACAGAGCAAGGGTGAGAAGAGGCAGAGGGGAGGCAGAGGGGAGGCAGGGCGGAGGCCCGAAGGCCAAGCTGCAATCCTCCACCCACCTATACAGGGCCTGACAACTCTCAAGGAAAAGCACAACAGAGAGAAATGTTCCAAGAAAGATAAACTCATGCATGCTGAAAGGATAATTATCTGATCATTTAAGACCTATGCCATGATCAGATTAGAGAAATCAGCAAATGAAAATGAGCTGGTTTGAGACAAAGGAAATTTAGGACACATTAAATTCAAAGATGCAATTTTACCAAATTATCGCTAATGACATTAATGAAGGGGAAGCATTAGAAATGTAAAAAGAATTCTAATTAATGAGCCTGCTAAGACTCTTTCTCTCATACTGTCCTCAAAGAAGGGGTCTTTATAAAACTGCTCTTCAGTGGCTGGGGATACAGCTCTGTGGCAGAGAGCCTGCCAGCACCTGTGAAGCCTGGGCTTGATCCCGGCATGCAAACACAGACCAAATCCTGGTCTTCACTAAGTATGTGATAAAAAGAAAAAATTAACAACACCATCCATTCAAAAAAAGTTTTCCTTAAAACTGTTTCTTGTAATCAGCGCATGCTAAAGGGAAACTCTGAAAACAAGAAACATCAATCTGTGTCCACGTATTTTCCATTACATGGATTCCAAAACACGTCTGTACGTCTAGCTCCAGGATCAGGGCTGTAGAATAAATTAATCCATTTAATTTATTGCGGAGCAGCCTAGGCATCCAGCAATGGATGAAAAACATATGGAATATACACTAGAGTTTTATTCAACCATAAAGAAGAATGAAATCATGTCACTGCAGGAAAATGGACGGACTTGAGACCATCGTGCTAAGTGAAATGAGTCAACTCTGACCATCAAGGGTCACATGTTTCCTCTCATGTGCAGAAGCCAGAGAGGAAAAGTAAAAGGGGAGGGGGGGGTCATCAAAATGGAAGGGAAACCAGTGTAGGAGAAGGGGAGGAGGAAGGGAGGAAAGGAACACTGGGGAGGGAACTGGCCACATCACATTGTCACACTGTGTGAGGACAGATCCCACCACTGTGTACAGCTACAATGCAGCCACAAAAAATATGGGGAAAAAATTACCATATGTGAGAAATAGAAATTATTAATGAAAAATAAAGTGTCCTTGTGTCCAATTCCTACTGTGGTGACTCAGCAGCTTCTGGACGTCTGAAATAGTGTGACATCACAAGTCTCAGAACAGCTGAATTGCAAACAGGGGGCAGAACTTCTGCTACTCACAGGATCAGACTGAAATTCAAGTTCAACATCAGCAAATCATCACACATTTGCTTCAGAATCTGAGAGGCCAGTGAAGCTCTCTTGGAAAGCATCTGGCTCGGTCCACACACAGCCCTCAGACTCACCTTCCCAGGCAGGGGACCTCACGTACTCCTGGACAAGGTTCTTCACGTATGTGGCCAAGGATGCCTCCTGCAGGCCCTGGGAGCCACTGGCAGAGGGTTGCCTGAAGTACAGCTCGTTCTCACGCAGCCAGTCACAGAGCTGGGAGGGGACACGGAATGGATGGCTTAAGTCTACCTGAACACAGCCTTGCTGGTGTCCCTAAGCCAGCTTCTTTCTTCCATAATAAACTGAGCGTAAGTCCTCAGTACAATGGCCCCGTGACGCTCTCAGGGGACAGTGCAGGACTGCATACAGTCTACATGCACTGTGCGTACAGTTGGTGGCTCAGTCATGAGACATAGCTGACCACCTGACACGACAGTGTCTGTACCACTAACACAACGAAGCGTCCCACACAAAATGTACCTTTCGAGAAAGCATTCTTAAACAACGTCTTTATACAAAATAGCACATTATATAAAACAAATCACAATCGTAAATTAAGACTCATTCCAGCTTCCTATATGAAAATAAGAACTTTTATTTTTGAAAGAATGTAAGAGTTGATGAAAATTGTACCTAAAGTTTCCTACCCTTCTCACAAGCTTATTTACCATGTGTACGTATTAAAAAATACTGACTTAAAAGAGAAATGCCATTGCAGCCCTACTCCATTACATCTCTTAGAAGTCCAACAAAAATAAAAGTCATAGGATTTCACAATTAATCTCTGACCAGATGTAACTGTGAATTTGAACATTAATCAATATGAATTTAAATGCGAACTTAAATATGTTTTTACAGTGTCTTTCTTCATGTACACTTCAATAAATGAGTTCAAATATGAAGGAAGTAGCCTGATGTGGTGGCATACGCCTGTTATCCCAGGAGGTCAGAGGCTGAGGTAGG